GACTCCAATGTCGTAAGAAATTATCCCAATTTGGCAAAGGAAAATTGTGTAAAGTGTCAAAAGTCCCGTACCCTAATTCCTAAAATCTATTTATAGTGGATGACATGTCACCGAAGTGTCCACTTTTGAAAGTGGACACTTTGGGCCTTGAAAGTGTCCACGCGCAAGATGGAAGGGTTGCCACTTCTCTGGAGTTGCCACTATTTGTGTTGAAAGTGGCTACTTTGGTGCGCGTGGCTACTATGAGAGCCAATAGTGGCCACGCGCAGGAATGCTTCAAAATTAGCGTCCTGGAGCTTCTGGAGTTGCCACTATTTGTGCTGAAAGTGGCTACTTTGGTGCGCGTGGCTACTATAAGAGCCAATAGTTGCCACGCGCAGGAATGCTTCAAAATTAGCGTCCTGGAGCTTCTGGAGTTGCCACTATTTGTGTTGAAAGTGGCTACTTTGGTGCGCGTGGCTACTATGAGAGCCAATAGTAGCCACGCGCAGGAATGCTTCAAAATTAGCGTCCCTGGAGCTTCTGGAGTTGCCACTTTTGGGCTTGATAGTAGCTACTTTGGAACCTTTAATGCCCAGACTTGCTGTAGTTGCCACTTTTACTCCTAAAAGTGGCTACTTTGGGGGCAACTTTCATCCAAGGGCCAAGATTTCTCAAAATTAACTTAGGGACTCTGCAAAATTATTAAGATAATTAAAATTGCAATCTATATCTATGTAATTAAATGCAAATTAACCAAAAATTAATAAACATATGATATTTACTCAAAATGTGATTTCTATATTATTTGCACTATCTAAGTCCATTTTTTCTATTAAGGAGCACCAAAAAGGCAAGTAAAAATATAATTAAAAGTGAATTCATCACTCATCATGCTCAGTGGGAAAGGTCTGACAAGTTAAGCCTAATCGCTATCCAGAGAACTGTCTCTAAACATCTTTTGAGTGGTCTTCCAGATAAGGGAAAAGCTAAGGAGTTTTTTCACTGCTTTGGGAAAGAGGTACGAGGTATCTGATATCATTGAGTCTGGATGTCTGATGAAACAATTAACAAACATGAGATACGACAATGTTAGGGGAGTAAAAGAGTTTATTATGAAGATGGTTCATATTCAAACCAAGCTGAAATCCCACCAAATTGACCTTAATGAAAAATTTATTGTTGAACATGTCTTAAACTGCCTATCTGCTGATTTTATCCAAATCAAAACTGTCCATAATACCATTGGTGCAAAATGGAGTGTGAATGACCTTATTACCAAGTGTGTTGCTGAGAAAGAGAAACTTAAGAAAGAAAAGAGTAACATAGCCCTTTTATCTTTCCATGACAAACTCACTTTTGGCAAAAGAAACTGAAAAAAAATACAAGTAGCTCTTCTAATGCTTCTCATGGATATCAAGGTTTAGAAAAATCAGGTAAGAGTCAATACCACAATGTAGGAGGGCCTAAGCCAACAGTCTTTAAAAGAAGATTTAGTGCTTTTGGTATAAAAGAACAGGACATAAGAAATTTGATTATGAAAAATTCAAGGCTTGGATAGAGAATAAAAATAAATCGGAAGGTAATTACTTAGCTCTTGTCTGTTATGAATCTAATTTAGTTGATGTCCCTATAAACTCTTGGTGGATTAATAGTGGTTCAACGACTCATATTGTTGTGTCTCTACAGGAGTTTAAAAATCTAAGAGAGTCCAATCTAAGGGAAAGCAAGATCAAGGTAGGAAATGATCTTGAAGTCTTAGTGGAGAAAGTAGGAGATGTTAGTTTAGTTTTAAGCTTTGGATTTGAATTGATTTTGAATAATACTTTTTATGTACCCTCTTTTTGGAGAAATTTAATTTCTGTTTCTTGTTTGGATAAACTTAGCTTTAATTTCACTTTTAGAGATAGAAAAATAAGTTTGATATTAAACTCCCAGATTATTAGTTATAGATCTTTAATTGATGGTTTATATAAATTGTCTTTAACTTCTCATAATATTTCTTCATCTTTAGTTGTTGAGAATTCTGTTGCTAAAAGATCTAAAGTTAAGGAAAAATCCTTCATGTTGTGGCATAAACATTTATGTCATATTTCTAAGAGTTGAAAGATTGACAATGACAAATATTTTACCTTTATTAAATTTTGATGATATGGGTACTTTTATAAGTTGCATTAGGAGAAAGTTTATTAAGACGAAAAAGAAAAGGTCAATTAGAAGTACACACCTTTTAGAGATTATTCACACTGACATTAGTGGGCCTCTAATTCCTACAATTTGTGGTAAAGGTATTTCATTACATTCATTGATTAAAGAAAAGTGATTAGGCAAAAGAAGATCTTAGCTTTTTACTCACAAAAAAATCGCATCTAACGTAAGTTGTCTACGCATGAATTACAGTATCTACAACAAGTAACTTTACAATTACAATTGTTTAATAATTGAAATAATTGGTATTCTGCGTTCATGTAATTAAATCCTATTTTAAATTTGTGATTACAATCAAAGATCTTTGAAATGAAATAAAAGAACTATTACCTCAATGTTTTGACACAAAAAAGAGAGAATCCACACACTCAGGATAAAAAAAAAAAACAAAGAGAAAGAAAGAAATATAGACTGATGTTTCTCTCATTGGTTCTATGAATAAGGTTGGCCAAAATACTTGGTAATAGACTATCGATTAAGGAGTGCAATGGATTATGTGATTTCAAAGTCGCAATCTGGCTTCATAAAAATAGCAAAATTTTGGACGGTATTCTTATTACCAATACATAAAATAGTAAAAAAGTAATTTCTTTTCTTTTTGGCGATTATATAATTTTTATATATTAGACAGTTAGACAATGATTAATCACTTTATAAATCCAAAATTCCTATTATTATGTTATATGCAGAACGAGATGTAGAGTAGTTTTATAGGTAGGGTGTTAGTGTATTTTTTCAAAAAATATATCAAGCTTAAAAATTTTACAAACACATGCAAATTATAAGTTTTACCCATAAAAATAAATTAGCATAATTTGGGAGAATAATTTTGATTGACTCAATATAAGGATAATTAAAAAAAAATAGTTACCGATATAAATAAGCTAAGCTATTCATGAATTATTCAAATTTGGATTGTTAAATACTAATTTAGGTTAATCTTAAATTAAGTTCAATTATATAAACGAGTCAGCTTATAATGCTTGACATTAATAGTTTGCAAATAACTTATATATATATATATATATATATATATATATATATATACACATACTTAAATAATTATATTTTTTATTATATTTATTTAAAATTTATAATTTTTTATTATTATCATTGTCTATGTATTATTTTTTATTTTTAATCTTAAGCCATTTTTATGCAGATAAGATTATATTTTATTACAACTTTACTTTACTTTTAACATAAATATATTTATTAAATATTAAATCAATAAAATAATTTTTCAAAACTTATAAAAAGAAATCATAATCAAGCTAGTGAGTTAAGTTTAAATTTTAAAACTATTAATAAGTCAAATTTAAAATTTAAATTTAAGTCGTTTAAACAAATGAAGTCAACTTAAAAAATATGATAATGTTAAACTATATAAAGAAAAGATAAAGAAGTTACCTCATCTGATCAATAAGTCTTACTCTATAATTGAAGGTTAAAGTTGTTCTCAGGAAACGTTAAATAAGATTGTCAGGAATAGAAGAAAAAAAACCTTCTAACATTGTTATTTATTCATTTGTATAGGTTTGAATTGGTGTTCAAAATGTTTCAAACAAAATGCCAAAGAAAATAAAAAGCCTCAGCCAGTTAATCAACTAACAATTCCCCAAACGTCAAGATAGTCAATACATTCTTTTTTAAAATGTATTGAAATACGTGATCGTATCTAAAATTTATCTCCATTTATTTTGCACTGTAATCAATAATTCATTATTATTAAACGTAATATTCAATTAAATTGTAGTAAGAATAAAAAAAAATGTATATATTTTCGTAAGAAAAATACATTAATATTTTCAATTTGACGAGGAAAGGTCAACTGTTGACAACCCACAACATTATAAATATGAAATAGAATTATTGAATAAATAATTTAAAATATGTTATAACTATTTTAAAAATTTTATAAATTTTAAAAGGCAGCAAATATTATAATTATTAATAATAATATTTTAAATTAAAATAAGTTTTAAAAAATCAAAATTTAAATTAATCTTGAATTAAGATATAAATCACTTGGCTTGTTGAAAAATAATTGATCTCTAACAACACTTTCATTTGATAATACCTCTAAAAATGCTCTTATTGAAAATTTTACTTATTATATATAGAAGTTGATCTGTTAAATGCAGAAATATTGTAAATTGGAAAAAAAAAATAAAAAAAGAGTTTTAAAAGTAGAAAATATTGAAAAAATAAATTGTTAAAAAATTTGAATATATAGTGTCTTTAAAAAAAATATTCAAAATATTAAAATATGAACACTTACAGAATTATGACATGCATATGTGTCGAATATTTACGTGTACAACTTTTTAGAATATGCAATAATTAATAGATTAAATTTCTGTTTTCATCCAAGTAATACTCGGATACTGATAGTACCAGCAGTGTGATATGTGAAAAATCGTGTTGAAAAGGTTGTTTTGTCTTTTCCATAGGAATCTGTTTTTGTAATTGGGAAACAAAATTAGAAGAGAGGCATGATAGACCGTTATTTCAGGTATTTGTCTGCTTAACAGCCTCCATTGGTTTTTAGTAGCAATAAATGTTTATTCTATTTATGGCTAACTAGTTTCACCATCCATAACTCTCAGAAACATTGTTTTCAAACCATAACCTTTCACATTCTCTTTGCCTTCCTTTGCAAACATACCAGTGAGAGAAAGATCGATGATCTCGTCCCCAAACAAGGTCATGATCTTCCTCCATCGTCCCACATTCTAAGTTCCTCTCTTTTTAGTTTTTGGGTTGATCTTCAGCACCACTATAGATTACTGGAAAAGGAAGAAAATTACAACATGGCTAGTCGATCATTTTCTCATTTTGTGGAGCAAGAAATGGGGAAGTTTCCTCACTTTGTGATCTATGTGTTGCTTGAATGGGTTTTGATAATCATTCTTTTCCTTGACGGGTTCCTCGCGTTTATTGCCAATGAGTTTGCCATGTTCTTTGAATTGCAAATCCCATGTTGGCTTTGCACTAGGTTTGATCATGTAATGGCTCATAGAAATCCTGATTTTTATTACAATGAGTCTGTGTGTGAGACTCATAAGAAAGACATGTCCTCTTTGGCTTTTTGTCACAACCACAAGAAGCTCTCTGATATAAGGAAGATGTGTGAGGGGTGTCTACTTTCTTTTGCAACTGAAAAGGAATCAGATTGTGACACCTACAAGTCCCTTGTGGGGATTTTGCATAAGGATCTTGAGTGCTTTGTTCAGGATGGCCAACCAATTCAATTGAGTTTGAAGGATGATGGGTTCATGCATGTTGATACAAGCAGCACTCAAAGATGTTCTTGCTGTGGAAAACCATTGAAAGTCAAAGCTTCCTATGTTAAAGGGAAGCGCTCAGCATCATTTGCTAGAGCCCCAACTCCTTCACCACGAGCTTTTCCATATTCAACATCCAAAAGTGAGGATCATCATGGTCTAGAGTTACCTCACATCAGGTACACAGAACTCAAGTTTATGTCAGATGATTCAGAGCTTCCAGAGGATGAGGATAGCTTCAATGCGAATAGTCAGAATGTTAAACGTGAGTATATGTAAAACATGAATTTCCTTAGACTATGCATATGCTAGTTTGTGTGGATTATACCAAAAAATTATACCCTTTTATTTGAGTTTTTATTATGCTATACATGCTTTACTTGAAGTGAAAATGTGAAACACAACTCACAAGAAATTCTTGTGTGATCACGGTGTTTATAGGTATTAAAAGTTTAAAACAACATCAAAATAGTTATCATCATTCATGTCAACAAACTTCATTATTATTTTACATGGTTGTTTAATTTAAAGTGGAGAAATCAATTCTTGCACTTTTCATTGAAAGGCACACATTCCAATAAAAATGTGCAGTCGAGATTAATTTATGCACGTGTCTCAGTATCATTTAACGACTCAATCAATTCTACTCAACTTTAGTTGCATCTAGAGACATTGTACACATGCCTCAAAATGTGTCATTGAAGAATCTTATAAATAAGGTACATGATATCATTTTTGTTCTATACAGCAAAGGAAGAAACCAAAACTGCCTCTGTGCCTCTATTGGCAGAAGAGGATTTGAATGATGAGTCCAGCAAATTCACCCCAACTTTTACAAAGAGCAATAAGTTCTTTGGAATCCCACTCACAGATTCTGCAAACAACAGTCCCAGATGGTCTTACAGGATTGCCAGGAAATCACCACTGGAGAAAACAGAATTTGCCTCAGACTCTAATGAGGCAAATGTTCAAAATGATGCTGATGAAGCCATCTTGAACAACTTGAAGAGGCAAGTTCGATTGGACCGCAAATCACTCATGGCTTTGTACATGGAGCTGGATGAGGAAAGAAGTGCTTCAGCTGTTGCTGCTAACAATGCTATGGCCATGATCACGCGGTTACAGGCAGAGAAGGCTGCAGTGCAAATGGAAGCTTTGCAGTATCAAAGAATGATGGAGGAGCAAGCTGAGTATGATGAAGAAGCACTCCAAGCATGTAATGATATGCTTCTCAAACGTGAGGAAGATATGAAATCTTTAGAAACAGAGTTGGAAATTTATAGAAAAAAGTATGGATCTTTAGTAGAAGAATATGCTAACTCATCTCTTGGAGACAATGGCTTTTCACTCAGGCTCAATGAAGGTGAAGATAATAATGGAGAAAAGAGCTTCAACTATAATCAAGTTGTGTCATCTCCAGCAAAACATGGAGGGGTAAAACACAGTGATTCTTTCAAAGAGATTATGGCGGAGAGAACATATCTTCTTGGCCGGTTGAAGAAAATAGAACCTAGGACACCCTTTGCAGAAAATATTGAGACAGGTATGTAGCGTACATGCTTTCATGGATAGGTGTTATTATTCTTCGGGTGATTCCTGGAAAAGTAAATACCAAATAAAAGTAACCATTTTATTTCCTGTAAATTATAAACATGAGACATATTTGTCCTTATATTCAATGGATGGAGAGACTAAAATGTTTCACATTTATAATTTTGATTGATCATTTCATTACTTTCTATTTCTCAATAACTAAATTGGGTCGAGTGACATTTTTAAGGACTGAATTGGATATTTATTCGTTTTAGATAAAACCCTTAATTTTCACCTTCAATGTTGTATGTGTTGTTACATCAATTCTTAAAAAATATTGGTCTCTCAAGGATATAAATCATTACCAACAATGTATTACTCAGTCAAATATTTTATTATCAGTCCCTCAAAGATTTAATCTATCACCAAATTTATTTCTCAAAAATTCTGAGTCATTACTTTAGTCTTATATAAAGACAAATACGATAACTTCTTAAACATCTGAGAGAATATTTCGGTAACAGTTTGCAGAAGACTCGTATTATAAAATTTACATGTTAAGGACTTATTTGGCTACAATTTTTTTTAAAAATAACTAATATGGTGATACATGTAACTTTGTAGTACCAATTTGAGAGCTTTCTCTAATTATTAACTTGTTTGTTTTACACCCAGAATCAATTCCTTTCATTATGACACACATTCCAATGTAAAATCTGTGGTTAAAATTAGCTTGAACACATCTCAATTATGTTCAATGATTTAAAATAACTACATCAAAATTAATTATAGCCAACTTTCAAACAAACTGATCCTAGGTTTATTACATTCTTCACAATGCTTCTGATGTAACAGGAAAAGGGAGCGAAGCCTATTTACCAAAAGAACTGTCCTTCCTTGCTGAAAGGGTGAAGGCTCTTGAAGCCAACAGTGGTTTCTTAGAGCTTGTTTCCAAGAAAGATGAGAATGATAGTGAAGGAACCGAAATTTTGACAGTGATATCACAGAATCTAGAGAAGCTCAACAACCTTGTTATGACCTCCTTTGAGGACATGCACGATGCCCGTTTTTCCTTTGGTGGTAATTGACTCTTCCAAGTGTGCTTGGAGCCACAAATGATCACACTAAGAATGAAGATAATTGAATTTCATGAGGTTGAGACAAAGGAAAACAAAAAAATCTAGCTTCTTGTGGAGATTGTGTGTTGTTCGGACACTAAATCCTTTGTCAAGGAACAGCTCAAGTGTGTGAAGCGTGGATGGTTTTCTTCTACCTCAAGAATGTCTCTGTAAAATATCTAAATGCCTAGAGATCAATTACTTGAAAACTCTGCATGTTTTGTAATAGGATTTTAATATCCCCATTCCTAGGCTTGGCTAACTTTACTAGGATCATTTGGACAAACTTGCCTAGGATTTGCTTGTTTATATGGCTATAGTCAACAATTCCTTCCTTGTTATTAGTATATGCATGTCTTTCATGCATGGAACAAATACAAATTATACAGTGTTGCCTGGCTCTCAAGCTTCACATAGGTCAATTTAGAGTGTTAGTTGATTTCCTGACCACAAAAGAAAAAGAATAATTATTGATTTTGATTTTCCTTCAAAATGCATCATGTTCATAAAAACTCAACTTTACAAATCAAAATTACTTTTTTGCTTAATTCAAGTTTTACAGGAATCATGACAGAGAAAATCTAATCTAATCTTCTTTTCCTCTCATATCTTCTTGAGATTGCCTTGTTTCATTTTTGTCAAATTCTATATAAACCTAGTTTTGCTAATGAAACTTAATATACGTCGGTCACTCATAGATGTGGTTCAAGCATTCTTCTATAGGTAAGAAGAAGTTAAATATTTTAAAATTAAACGTACAAAATTTGGTCTTTTCCAATAAATATTCTTTTCTTCAATAATTAAAAAATATAACTTTAATCTTTAACGCTAAATTTAAGTAATTAATAACAATAATCAAATTTTATTAAAATATAAATATTTATTATATTTTATTACTTAAATATAATAAATGTTATCTTACTGTTAAATACTTGAACTCAATCCTAAAGATCAAAATTAATAAAGTTTACATTTTAACTAATGAGAAGATCTCACAATATAATCATTCATAAAATTTTGCATATCTATTATCGCATGGATTGTTATCTTTATAATAAATTTATATCTATATTAAATACTATTTGAATTAGTAAAGTTTGAAAATGAAACAAAATTAAAAATGATTGCACTATAAAAGAAATTAGAGAACTAAATGCATAAAAGAAATAAAAAAAACCGAATTAAAGATTTAACTCTAAAAAATAAATTAGATTAGAAAGTAAATTAAAACTTAAATGAAACTTAGAGATGGGAGATTATAATTTAACATTAATTTTTTAAAAGTAGATCCTCTGAGGCGAAGCGATATAGAGAAAGAATGAATATATCTATTAATTAAATAAATTAAATAATGAAAATAAAGAAAGATGCGAACGCAGACGGCGATGACACAGTGGTGTTCGAGAGTGGCAACAAAGAGGCTTCTGAGGTCAGAAACGTGGCGAGCGTGTGGGGAGTTGAAGATGAGTACAAAGCAAGACAATAACGACGCCGTTTTCAAGCAGAAACGGCTACTTCGAACTGAGGTCAGAAAAAGCCTCAAAGCCATCGACCCTTCCCTCAGATCCCAACAAGGTACAAACATACACATCTCTATCTCGCTCTTCCACAATCCCAAACCCTATTTTTCATTTTTTTTTATTCTTTCATTTTTCAGATAACGCCGTTCAAGACATCGTTTTGGGAGCTCCGTGGTTCAGATCAAGTCTTAGGCTATGCGCCTACATTAGTTGCAGTGCTCTACGGGAAGTTGATACCTCCAAACTCTTGTCGGAAATTTTGCAACATAACGCTAGTGGTCTGTGTCCTCGCTTATCTTCGAAACAACGTGTTTTCTGATATTAGAATTCCATAATTATTCATATTTGATGTTTCTCGTCTGACGTTTTAGCTGTTGCCCAATGCTAATGAAAATTTAAGGTTCAATACAATTTTACTAATGAAATCTATCCCTGAATTATTGAATTTTTCACCTCCTAACCTCGTACCAAATATACCTTTATAATAGTTACTTTTAGCAGATATGTTTTTTGTATAATTTTCTTTTTCTTTTGACAGTTTTGCTTTTTTACCTAAGAGGAAATCGTCCCTTTAGTTTTTGAGATTGTAAGTGTTATTCGTTTTAGTCCTTAAATTTATAAAGTTTTACTTTGACTTTGTAAAATGTTATAATATTTGATTCACTGTAGTACTTAATGCGATTAAAACCAATGCAGTGAAAAAGAACTGAATTTAATGAAATTTTACAAAATTTTATGAAGTTAGGGACTAAACTGATTCTTTTGTGAACTCAGAAAGAAACATAAATAACACTTATAATCTCAGGGACCAAAAATCTGATCTACTCACCAATTTTTGACCCCTGCCTCCAAAATAAAACCTTTTAAGTCTAGTAGTGTCTACATGCATTTTATTGCTTAGGACAAGATGGATCATATACAGGTGGAAAAAAGCTTTATGTACCACGGGTGGAGGATAAAAATAGTCACATGCGTATGCTCCACATATCGCGAATTGATGATCTTATTGCAAACTCAATGGACATCTTAGAGCCAGCTTTGGTTGATGCCAATGGAAATGCACGTGAAGATGGTATTGCTCCTCTATGTTTGCTGGCTTTTTTCTTTTCATACCACTGAATTCTCTCCTATCTTGAACATTTTAGCTTTCATAGATATGGCCAACTTGCAAAAATTATTTACAGACTTCTAAATTTGAGTGTTTCTCAAAATGCCACTGTTACCAAGTCAATCTGGAACAGCAAGTGAGGCTAATATATGGCAATTTATCCTCCGTTTCATGTAAAATTTTGTTAATTTTCATAGTTTTTCTGAATCACTGTCAGCAGTCTGTTGTTCCAACAGCATCCTGCTTGTCTTCGTCCTAGGTGAAATAAGTTTTTAGGTAGTTTGCATATTCTAATCATGGTTTCTTCAGCTAAAAGATGCAAGTTTGTTATTTTAAAGAGAAAATGAAAATGTAAAGCTTCACAATGGCATAACTTTTACAAAGCCACTTCCACTGGACCAAACACAAGTTATGTATATTCTACTCCCTATCTATCTTGGCTACTTTTGTGCATTTAATTTTACTTTTTCTGATTCTTGTAGGGTCAACTTCCATTTAATGTATTTTCTAATAATCCTGATTGGCCAATATCAAAAACTGTTTGAAAGATCTCTTTGGTACAGTTATGCAGGCAAACGATCCAGTTGATTTGTTCCTTTTACCTGGTAAACTCATTTCTTATTTAATCATTCTTGTCTGAAGCTTGAATCTAGTTATTCATTTTCTATTATTTCTCATTCCAGGACTGGCATTTGACAGATCTGGAAGACGTTTAGGCCGTGGGGGAGGGTATGTTCTTATATTTATTCCTTTTGTTTGAAAATTTGAAATCTATCTGCTATAAAATCATATTTCTTCTGTTTAAAAAATTGAAATTCCACTTCTACAGATACTATGATACCTTCCTAAAAAATTATCAAGACCTTGCAAAGACACGGAATTGGAAGCAACCCTTACTTGGTATTCATTTATTTCTCCTAGGATTACATGATTTTGGTTGAAGCAACCTACAAACTGTTTCACAATCAAGCAATTTGGTTTTGGATTTGCAGTTGCATTGTCATATTCTGAACAAATACTGGATGAAGGAGTGATACCAATTACTTCATCTGATGTTCCAGTTGATGCTCTTGTATCTCCAGAAGGTGTGATTCCCATTAGTTCTGCCTTAAACAGGTATCACTTCGATACTTTTAGCACTTATTAGTTGGTGTCCTTACGCTACTGATTAGGAATGAAAATAAAAAGTACTAAATGAAAAAATAGAAGCATTTAATATCTTGGGAATCTAGGAAGTCTTCAATATTTTCTTTAAGCAATCAGGAAGATTTATTTATCAAATAACAATGCTAATGAAGAGTTTTAAATGCTTCATCAAAAATGCTCTATGGGCATTGGTTAACAGAACCCTTTGATTTTGTTTACTTTGAGAAAATGTTTTTGGTTTTCATTTTTAATTATAAAAATGCACACAATTTTCATTTTGTTTTCTATGTTAAAAAATTAGTGAACTGTTTCCTATTATAAAAACCTTCGAAAACAGGAAATAAAGAAAAATGGTGACGATTTTGTAATTAAAAGTTAAAATAGAAAATAAAAACATTCTCAAACCAAGCAAGCCTTCATTTTTTGCTATGTTGAATTTGGTCAATTATTGTCATTTTAACTATCTGAACAATTACAGGATGGATCTCTGACACTGGAGCTCAAAGCTGATCCTGAACAATTTCAATAGTGTATCTTCAATAAACTTTTGTGGTTTCTTAAGTGTATGTCACTAAAGTATCTGGATCTGGCGGTTTTGTTAAATGGGGTCTATGTAACAAGTAAAGGGAACCAATTCATCAAGTAATACTAGACTCCCTTGAATGATTGCGTCAATCCTTGACGGAGGGGAACTTTCAATACTTTTTGGTCATTCATCTGAATTCAGCACGCTTTTTGTAATGTTTGAATTGTGAAATTTGAAATTCTTTCTTAAAGCACACTGTTCAGCTGGAATGCCTATGCTTTAATTCCATGTATGGTTAATTTAGGATGAAGTTATTCTGCTTTTTGGATTCTTCCGACCTTCAAAGATATTGTGCTAGTGAAACTTTCCTTTACGTGTTTCCAGGTCCAAATCTTCATATACAGTATTCTGCGTGCTTCAATTTATACCCATGAATAGGAAAGACACGGGGAGTGCAATGCCCTTAACGAGTGAGGTGTGTGAAAATGTGGACCCCTAAAAAAAGTTGTTATATCTAGTTATGTGTGGAAATGGAACTTGATTGGAGCTGCTTTTAACGACTCACTGGCAAATGAGTCAAATATTCCGTAGTCATACTTCATTAATACTTCCTTATTCAAATTATATTATTATTTGTTTGAAATATATGATGATTATTTATATGAACTGAAATAGGAAACCCTTTTACAAGCTCTCAACCTATTATTGTTAGAATAAAGCATGGACTTTTTAGTACATCTTCACACTAGTATAATATTGTCCACTTTAAATCTAAGCTCTCATGGTTTTGTTTTTGGACATCATCCAAAAGGCCTAATACTGATGGAGATTTACCATACTTATATGCCACTTATATGCCCTTGATCTTTCTTAATTTTAGTTAATGTGAGACTGTTCGCACATACCAACAATTTCTTTCTCGAACAAAGTCCGCCTCTAACTCCAAAGTCCACTTGAGTGCTAAGCACCCTTCGCCCTTGCCTCACCGAGGCCCTCCCCCGGCCCTACTTGGGAGATTCATCACATGGGGTTCACCATTCATGTGGCACTATCTAGGACCGTACATACTCACATCCACATGACTACTAACATCTACATTCACGTGGTACTACTTAGAGATCCGGGCTCTGATACCACTTGTTAAAACAAATATGAATTTTTTAGTACATTTCCACACTAGTATAATATTGTCCACTTTGGGCCTAAGCCCTCATGGTTTTATTTTTGGACACCATCTAAAAGGCCTCATACTAATGGAGATCTACCATACTTATATGCCCTTGATCTTTCCTAATTTTAGTCAATGTGAGACTTTGTTCGCACATCCCAACAATATGTCGTTGATCCCTTTGTATGAGTTAGAGAAAATACAAAGGGATCAACGACATCAAAGAGAGAGATAACATCAAGGAACAATGAATTCAGGTTAGTGCTCTCTAAACCCTTAATTATATGAGAACCATATATTGTGTTGTGAAAACAACGTAATTCAAGATCACACAAGGGAAAAGAATTTCATAAATGTTATTGCATAATAGAAATTACATAATAGATTAAAGAAAATTCTAATAGTTACATGGCTGTGCTTCAGAGAGCACTAACCTGAATCCATTGTTTCTTGATGTTACCTTTCTCTTTGATGTCGTTGATCCTTGTATTTTATCCAACTCTTCCTTCCTCTTTTAGCTCCTCTCGGATGGTTGAGAGAAAGTTTCTTTCTTGCATTTACCGTAAGCTCACTCAGAGACTGTGAAAGTGAAAAATAGAGAATGTCATAACCCCTATTTGGTAACCGCTCTTTAATTTATATGAAGGGAGAGAGGAGGGTTTCCTTATAATTGTATTTACAATTATACCCTCAATGATTCTATATTTTATATTTAACCACCATCACATTAAATCATTAATTAGAGTCATGCTATAAGTTACATAGGCCACTATAATAAGATTATTAAAATAATCTAACAATCTTCTACTTGGCCTATGTGACGACTTGAAGATTCAATAAACTATAAGTGTGTATATCATTGATAATATCAAGTCATCATCTTTTAATGATTTAAGTTGATCGGATCATGGCGGTCACAAGTCATTTGACGACATGATTCCTTCCAAGTATCACAGAACCACCCAAATCAAAATAGCTTTAATCAGTCATACTACAGATTGTAACTCTGATGTGTTTTTAACACTCAACCTGTTATCAAACTCAAACCATACATGTACATTAACACAATTCAGATAACAAGTAAACAACCAGAAACAATACTTTTATTAAATTTTTAAAATGCCTACAATAATATGAGCAAAACAATCTATACACATATATGTGAATCACACAATCATGCTAACAAGGACTTGTCTATAATGTCCATTCTACCAACATAGCCAAAAAAAACGTTTTAAGGGGCAATCTCTTAGTTAGTGGATCCGCTATCATTAAATCAGTACCAATATGCTCAATAGACACTTTCTGTTTCCGCACTTCTTCTTTCATTGATAAGTATTTTAAGTCCATATATTTTGTTCCCTTTGAATATTTATCATTCTTAGAGAAGAAGACCACTATAGAATTATCACAGTACATTCTTAGCGTTTTTCTATTCTATCAACAACACCAAGCCCTAAGACAAAGTTTCGCAATCACAAAGCATGAATAGTGGCCTCAAAGCACGCCACAAATTCCGCTTCCATGGTAGACGTAGCAATAATGGACTCCTTTTCGCTCTTCCATGAAATTGCACCTCCAGCCAACAAAAAGATGTAGCCAAAGGTCAATTTCCTTGAGTCTACACATCCAGCATAGTTTGAATCCGAGTATCCAACCACTTCCAGGTGACTAGATCTCCTATAAGTAAGCATGTAGTCCTTGGTGCTTTGTAAATACCTAAGGACTTTCTTTGTAGCCTTCCAGTGGTCCATTTCGGGATTACTTTGATATCGGCTTAACATTCCAACAGCAAAACTGATATCAGGTTGAGTGCATGTCTGAGCATACATTAAACTTCCAACCATTGATGCATAGGGAATAGATTCCATTGCTTTCTACTCCAACTCATTCTTGAGACATTGCATTTTACTAAACTTGTCTTCCTTTTGAATTGGAACTACCCTTGATGAGCACTTTTCCATTTTGAATCTCTTTAATACTTTGTTGATGTAGTCTTTCTGAGACAATTCCAGTAATCCTTGTGATCTATTATGGAATATTTCTATTCCAATCACATAGGAGGCCTCACCCATATCTTTCATCTCAAAGTTCTTAGAGAGAAACTTCTTTACATCATGCAACAACCCAACATCAGTAGTAGCAAGAAGAATGTCATCAACATACAGGACTAAAATGATAAACTTGCTCCCACTGACCTTCATATAGATACACCGGTCAACGGTGTTCTCTACAAAATCATATGACGTGATGGTATCATTGAACTTAAGATATCATTGTCTGGAAGCCTGTTTCAACCCATATATTGATTTCTTTAACTTACACACCATACTTTCTTTACTTGCGGTCAAGAAGCCATCTAGCTGATCCATATAAACTTCCTCTTCTAAGTCGCCATTCAGAAAGGTGGTCTTTACATCCATTTGGTGAAGCTCTAAGTCATAATGAGCCACTAAAGGCATAACAATTCTTAAAGAGTCCTTCTTTGAAACTGGAGAAAAAGTCTCTTTATAGTCTATGCCATCCTTTTGAGTGTATCCTTTAGCAACAAGTCTAGCCTTATATCTCTCAACGTTGCCTTTTGAATCACGTTTGGTCTTAAAGACCCACTTGTAACTGACTCATTTTGAACTTTCAGGCAAATCGACTAGATCCCATACCTTGTTGTCACTTATTGATTTTAACTCTTCTTTCATGGCATTTAACCACTTTTCAGAATTATAACATTCCATGACTTGTTTAAATGAGACTGAATCCTCATCAATACTCAAGTCACATTCATGCTCAAGTGAGTAAACCACATAGTCATTTGAAATAGCAGGTCTTTTTTGCCTTATAGACCTCCTTAATGTTATCTCTTCTGGTTCACCTTCCTCTTACTTACTTATAACTTGCGCATTTTTAGCTGGTTCATCCTTTATATGTTGTTCTTGTGGGTTTGGAACATTAACTTATTGTCTCCTTATGTTGTGCGACCGTGATACAACAAGAGGAATAACAACTGGAGAAGAGGCACCAACTACAGGAGTTTTCGCACGTGTCTCTTTAATTCCACCTTTCGTGTTTCACCACTCCCACTAAACTGACCATTTTCAATGAACCCTGCATTTCCAGACTCAACTATTCTCATACTATGGTTAGAACATTAGAATTTGTACCCCTTTGATTTTTCAGGACAGCCGATGAAATAACCACTTATGGTTTTAGCATCAAGCTTCTTTTCATGTGGATTATACACTCTTACTTTTGCTGGACAACCCCAGACATGAAGATGTCTTAAACTGGGTTTCTTTCCTGTCCACGGTTCATAAGGAGTCTTTGGAACTGCCTTACTAGGAACTCTATTAAGTAAATACGCAGCGGTCTTTAATGCGTACATCCACAAAGACATAGGTACAGAACTGTAACTCAATATACTGCTAACCATTTCTATGATAGTACGATTCCACCTTTCAGCCACACCATTTTGTTGGGGTATATCAGGCATAGTATACTGTGCACATATGCCTTGACTTTCCAGAAGTTTCGCAAATGGACCTGGACATTGTCCACTTTCATCAAATTTTTCATAATATTTATCACCTCTATCTGACCTCAGAACCTTTACCTTTCTATCTAGTTGTCTTTCCACCTCATCAATAAACACCTGTAAGATATCCACTGATTGAGATGTTTTATGCAACACATACAAATAATAATAACGTGAGTAGTCACAATAAAGGTAATAAAATATCTTTCACCACCCCAAGATGGGATGTCAAACGGACCACAAACATCAGTGTGTATCAACTCTAAGAGTTGACTACTTCTTGTGGCTGCATTCTTTGATGTGTGTTTGGTTTGTTTTTCTTTAATACAATCCACACATACATCCCAGTCAACAAAATCCAATTGAGGTAAAATTTTACTTTTCATTAACCTCATCATCCTTTCTTTGGATATGTGACCTAACCTTTGATGCTACAAGAAAGCAGAGCATTCATTACGCACATTCAAATTACTACTAATAGCATTCTTAACATGAAGCAAAGATTCAACAAATTTAACATTAAAATTGAAACGATATAAACCATCAATTAATGTACCAAATCTAAAATAGTACAAGTGTTTATACAAAGAAAAGGTATCGTTTCCAATCTTAAAATTAAAATGAAATTCGTC